TATTCGTGCTCAACGTGATATGTAGACGTCAGTGCGCTTAGTGCGAATTTTTTAACGTTCTCGATAGCGTTAAAGTTAACTAAATTTGTATGGAGTTGGAACGTATGCCTACGTTTGCCGCTAGGGGCGCTGTTTCAACTGCATTCAAATTGCACTTAACTTTTACGCTATCGAGAACGTTAAAAAACTCGCACTAAGCACACAGAAATATTAGAACAAAACCGACATCATTGACAGTACGGTAGAACAGCCCTATCTTATACCTTTAAACGAGCAATTCTTATATATATACAGTCGTGGTCAACTAATTAGGGACATTCAAGATAGTGAAGGGCTTTAACCGGTTATGTACATTTAAATATAAAACCCTATTGATTTCTCAGCACCTATTATTTGCATAATGTGGTCCGATTATTATGCTATAAATAGCTGTAATTATAAGATGTAATAAATAGAAAAAGTATTTAATATCAAAGATTAAACATGTATTAAATATTAAGGTACAATTCTGTAGTGGACATTTAATTAAGGACAGTAAAGTATAATGAAAAATACAGTTACACAAAACTTATAATCTTCAGTGTTATAATATCTTTAACAGCTCCATTTTATTACGTGTAAAATCAGTATCCAGTAGCAAAACCTTTGTTAGTAATTACCGCTTGATACCGATGTGGCATAGACATTATCAGTTTCTGACATATTTCGACAGGAATGTTTGCCCATGCCTCACAAAAAGCTTCATGAAGTTCATCCAAATTTGTATTACGATAAGTGGCAACTTTTTCTTGATTTCGTGCCAAAGGTGCTCAATTGGGTTGAGGTCCGGGCTATTTGCTGGCCAACCTAGCACCGATACAAATTGATTGGTAAGAAACGACTTGACTGAATGGGCGGTATGTTTCGGGTCGTTATCCTGCTGAAACGTCCATATAATAAAGAGATGCTCCTCAGCATAGGGAAGCATAGTTTCTTCCAATATTGCCTTGTATTGATGTTGGTCTAAGTTACCCTGAACTTTCCTCACAGGTCCCACTCCACGTCCAGAAAATGAACCCCATATTTTAATGTTTCCACCGCCATGTTTCACCTGTTTTTTTGTGAATCTTGGATTCATTTCCGCTTTTACAGGACGCCGTACATATTGCCTTCCATCTGAAGAAATCAAATTAACCTTGGTCTCGTCAGAGAAAAGTACATGTTGCCATTGGGCGTAGGTCCAATGTCCATATTTACGTGCAAATGCCAAACGAGCATTTCTATGTTCTTTCTTCAACAACGGTACTTTGCGAGCCACTCTTCCGAACAACCCTGCTTCTACCAAACGTCGTCGAACGGTCCTCGCAGATACACCGGCTCTTTCGTTTGCCCCAAACACTTCCGTGTTTAATTAAAATAGAGCCTAGAAACGGATCTTTCTTAGCTAACCTGGTTATCATTCTATCTTCTTGCGGAGTCGCTTTTCTCGATATTTTTGTTCTGGACACGTTTAAAGCTGTGTTATAGCGTTGAAATGTTGCACTGCATTGCATACCATAGTTTTTGAACAATTTAAATGTTGTGCTATCCTTCGGTATGACCAACCACGCTCGTAACCAAACTTCATGATAATTTTTCGTAGTGTCGGATCGCAACTTTTATTTTTGCCCGTTTTTCTTCAAAATAATTCTCAAAACTTAAAATAAAAAATCGGGATTGCCGCCAAAACGACCACTAAACAATAAGAAAAGAAACAAACAAGTATTAAAATTCCAATTTTTTAATTAGAACGCAATACCACAGTGTCCCTAATTAAATGGCCAGCCGGCATTCTTTGAACCAATAGCACTATGATATTGTATCAGCTATACTGTAAAGTGGTTTAATGTTTAAGAAGTTGTTATTGTTTGTATAATCGCGCACATAAATGACTAATTACACTTACATGTAAAAGATATGGAATATTGCTAAGACTCAATGGAAAATAAAAAAAATATTCACAATTTGGCTTAACTAGAGATTGTCCCTAATTAGTTGACCACGACTGTATAATCGGAATCTCGGAAACAGCTCCAACGATTTTTATAAAATTTAGTATACAGGGGATTTCGGGGGCGATAAATCGATCTAGCTACGATTTATTTTCAGAAAATGTTGTTTTATTCGTGTTTTCAATAATCAACTCTTCCCGACATCTATTGGCGAATAATAATACTATTTTTCTTAATTGAGGGCAACTAACCGCTTTAAAGACACAACAAGATGGCGTTATCAAAAAAAAAACCGAGCTAAGTTCGATCATCATCTAGTATCACACAATACACACAGTTAGCTCCGAAAATAATATTTAATAGGTACTATATATCTGCAATATTATATGTAACGGTAATGTTCATATGATAAGGACGTATGTTAAGCGTTTATGTAGTTAAAGGTAGGCAGGCTTGGCCGGCAGAGCGTGAGTCTGGGGCAACGACCTTCTAGGTATGGTGAATTTCAAAAGATCAACACGTTTAGTACTGGGCTTAGTAAAGGAAATGTACTGAGAGCTAAATTGTTTTTTTTTTTTTTAATATATGAGGCAAGTGCAATTTTTGTTTGACTTATTGCTGAGATTATCGTGGAAGTTTTACTTTTTATGCATATAAGATTAGCATAGAATATGTATTAATCAGCTGTTCTTGATTTAAACAGAGATATTATGACCTTTTATTTATTTAGGTGGCGAATTTATTTAGGGAAATCGTGTAATTTTCATTTTTCATATTCACTATGGTTTTCAGCAAAATTAAAACGAACTATCTAATCCAATTGAACGTAAATTCTCTCCAAAAGTATTAGATACAATTTGGGATTCGGCAACAAATTGAGTAAATTTAATTAGCTACGTATTTCGGAACGATACCATTTTAGCATTCTGATGCGATTTAATAGAATGACGTCACATCATATTGATTCATATGAGCAAATATACATGTACTTGAATATTTAAATTAATTACCTACCTCTACGAATGTGTATGTTTTTGATCAATCCAATATTTTTCATAATAACCTTCGATCATATTAAAATTTAAATTCAATGAATACAATATGTATATTATTATGATTGTATTCATTTTATTACGAAGATATTCACCTTCATTTTTATTTAGCGAACGACAACTCTCGCAATTTCGAATAATTTATATTAATAATATGTATAATACGATTAAGGAAAATTTTAACAATCGCATTAAGCATTACGTGTACGCTTTGTGAATCATCTTGACGACCTTACCTAAAAGTAAACATGCCATTTACATAGGCACGATCCAAGTCATTTAAAATTCTAAAGCGATACTCCCGTTTCGCCAAGGCGTCGTGTATTTTACTTGGAATGCAGACAAAAGTGTGTGTGGCGTTTTTGGTTTTGATGTCTTCTGGTTAGAGCCTCATGAGTTCACCTACTCGTCAGGTTACGCTGGCATAACCGTCTAAGGTCACTAGATTAGGCAGAAAAAAAAATTGGTTTTTAAGTAGGTTTGTTGCAGTTTTTTTTCTACACGTTTTCGAAGCATGACGACATTCATTGGGTAGAAATAAATTTATTTCTCAAATTATATTTTAATTCTATTGATTATCCAGCACACATTCTTTAATTATCAACGAATTGCCAATTTAAATATGTACGTCACCCCATTATTTCTAAAGTAAACAATTTAATGTCTATAAAACTAAACTAGGTATAATGCAGATAAAAATACTTTTTGTATGAATTCATCATTGACGATTTGTGTAATTAGAAGATAATGTTGAGTAAGTATTGATTTAGTAGTGAAGGTAACAAGGTTACATTAGAATTTCTTCAAAAACGGTGTTTTCAAGACTTATTATCCGTAATGCATCGTCTAAATCAACGTGGCTTAAAGGATAAGATGCGGTGTATCGTAGCGAGCAATGCTAAGTGTGCCGATGTTCAAATCTGGGAGATACCAATTTTTCTAAATAAACACGTATGTACTTAACACGTCTTGGCGAACCACTTCCACGACGAAGGAATATCGTCTGATAAAATATGAAAGCAGCAAAATTTATAAAGTGGTCAAACGAAGCCCGCCTAAATTGGGTGGGCGGGTGTTTTATCTTTTTGTGCGATCGAACCTGTTTCGGTCGTTATGGGATCCCGTGGATACATCTTTGAAATCATGTTGTCACTTGTGGACTTGTGGATCACGGAAAATGAGAATCACGGACCTTGAATCGAGGGAATTTCTGGAGTTCTTATGACCATGCAATCAGTGGAAATGTTATTTAGAAAGAACATGAAAGAGCATTCGTTAAGTTTTTTAATATGGTCGTGATTCGGTGTACGATTTAAAAAATCTCGCCGATTGGAATTCAGTGGATGTCATTCCTAATTTCAACTCTAATATTGAACTGATATTACAAAGTTTAAAAATTAAATTAACATGACGTGCCTTAACAACGGAATTACATTATGTTCACATTGGACACATTCGAAAAGACATGGAAGGATCTAGGCTTTACTTTTGTTATTCTAACTGCAATACCAGTATTCCATTCTTGTATAGGTTAATGAACTTTGATGGCCAAAGGTATTAAAGGCTAAAAGGTATTAAATTTTAAACAAACGTGATTAGAAACAATCGCTAGGTATATTTGATAATCTATGAAACGTGCTCTTGAATATTTATGTACGCCTAGTGTGAATATCTACCCGCGTCAAAACGTTACATACACGAAAGACTCCAGGCACAGGTGACTATTACGATGCTAATTAAATTTCGGCAGCAAAAAGATGCCCCGTTCTTATTTAAAACAAATGAACCACGAAGATTTGGAAGTATGTCTGGCGCCAAGTGTTTAAAGATGAGTGCCATGTGATAATGTAGGTCAGGGTCGAGTCCTTGGAACAACTGGACCGAGCAGCATCCCTGATCAATAAACGATGCCTCGCGACCTATTTAACAGCCACTCCCATTGAAACGATTTTTTTTTTTGTTTTTATTTCCAACTCACCTTTCTCTGGGCTTCAGCTGCAAATCCTGATTTGGTCGCTCGGTTGTTTGCCATTTCGAACTAATAACAATTTAATAAATTATTTAAATAAATCACAGACACGGTAGAAGGTGAAGTCACTGTGTACAGAATGTAAACAGGCCGGCGGGTCAACGGGACACGTCCGAGTCACACGAGGGTCGATGTGTGAGTGTGTGTTTGCCTGATGAATGACATCATGGTGCGCGCAGCGGCCTGGCGACGGCTTGACACACGGCACGGCTATAGTTACGAGAGACAATTTATCGATATAGCCTTCATGACTTATCGAGACTTCAACATCACCAATTGAATATTTTAAATGGTTCCATGGATAGGAAATGTTTCTTTTATACATATTAATTTTTTTAAATTTGTTATCTTGAATATCATATTCGCCGTCAAACAAAACACACGCAAAACATTATACTACATTATACAGAATACAAAAAAATAATATTGCAGTACGTACTTTTTGTAAGCGTGTTTAAACAACACTTTTTTTTTTATTAATTAAATAAACATATTTTATAAAAATCATGGAGTTGGTAAGCGGCGGTGGTTGAGCTTGATGAATTTTGTCAGCGAAGTTGCAGTAGTTAAATAATAAAAATTAACTACTACGCAATTAATAAAATAAAAACATAAATTTCATTATAGCGGTAGGCAGCGGCTTGGCTCTGCCCCTGGCATTGCTGAAGTCCATGGGCGACGGTAACCACTCACCATCAGGTGGGCCGTATGCTCGTCTGCCTAAAAGAGCAATAAAAAAAATATTCAAACATTTTGAATTTATTAATAGTCTCACATTTATCGACCGATTTCCAACACTACATACAGGTCGAAATGTAAAACGAAAACCAAGTATGGAGTACAATAAGTGCGAAGGGGTTAGCAGTACTATCCTTCTCTTTCACAGTCTCCGCGATATGGCGTCACTGCGCGGTCCCTGGCAAGGCAGTTGATTGTGGATGTTTGAAATTTTATTACATTCAGGTGGATAAAGATTTTATGGTTAATACGACCTATACGCTTTATTGAATTAAAAAAAAAACATTTACTAACAATTCAAGGACTAGTTGATCTATTTCAATTGTTACAACACAATTATAGCATCTATTACCATTATTTCCCAGTGTATTTTAATAAGTTTCACGGCAGAAACAGTCAGAGTACTGCCTCTCTGAAAGCTTAAGACTTCGCAACGAGTCCTAACTTCAGTTTATTCATTTTGTAGTCGTCGTGGTCTGCGAAATAAGACGCTCGGTGCAATCGTATCTATCGATGCATCGGTGTTCGAATCGCGCAGGCGGGTACCAATTTTTCTGATGAAATACGTAACTTATAAAAACAAATGTTCACGAAAGACTTGAATGACGAGTGAAGGAATAACATCGTCTAATAAAAATTAAACCCGAAAAAAATATAATTTGCGTAATTACCTACTGGTGGGCGTCTTGTGAGTTTGTACAGGGTTGATACCACCAGACCACCACTCTGCCTATTATTGCCGTGAAGCAATTACGTGTATCGGTGTCAAGGGTTGGAGCATCTTAGCAATTAATAAAAAAGTTACGCAGCTGCACATTCTTGCAATCATAAATACTACATACTACTATTTGATCGAAGACACAATATCTAAATCCTTTGCTCTGTGGAGGATTGCTTTGATCCGTATTCCCAGATACTACGACGTCTGGTCATTCTTTTTTTTTTCCTAGCTAATAGCCTTGAGAGGTTACTTCAGCTTCACCCTTATGTGTGGGTGAGCTCATGGGGCTCAAACCGGAGTGTTGCTAACACTGGCCCTAGCAAGAGCAGTGCTTCGCAAAATCTACCACAGGATCGGAAACGTGACCCACTGAGAAGATCCGGCAAGAAACTCAGTGGGCGGTGTCTATGGGTTAATTTACTCGTCGAGCCCTTCGTCGCAAGAGACGGGTTCGGCCAGTTCGGTGACCGGTGCTTGAGATACCTGACTAAAAACACTGTCGTGTGGTCATATCAACGTTTCATAATACTGAATCGCAAGATTAAGATGTCAGTCCGGCCGCATACTCTACTGTTGCACCGGTCCGGCTATCGCATTGTATTATAAGACAATCTGCGTCCACAGTTGGTATTGAAACACATAACTCTTATTAGGCAGATGATTAAACTCAGCATGACTGATGACCGTTGGCTCACCTATCTTGCTTAAATAGAAATATATTTTGGACGCCTAGAGCTCCACCCTACTCCTCCAACTCCGTTCTTACACTCGTCTGTAGTAACATTATCTGCACTTTGGTCTCATAACCCAAATTTCTAAGTCCTAGTTGCGATACATTGCCTGTCTATACCTTACGATGGGTTTGTATGTTTTTTCTCACTTGAGCATTACGAAACTTTAACGATGCAATACAAGAAGCCGGCCTCCTTTAGTATTAGATGTTCTTCTAGTATAACATAATATATACTAACTGGCACTGCAACTTTTTTTTTATAATTTAGGGATTACTGGTGGCCCGGAGGCCTTTCCAGTTTCACAAGGACAGGTGGGTGAGCAAGGGCTCAGCCAGGAGGGGTGGGATTTGCTAACAGCTACCCGAGGGTCCCCAGGGTAGACCTAACAGCTCAAGAGTAGCGGCTTCGCGAATGAATCTACTACCGGATCGAAATCGCGACCCGCTGAGAAGATCCGGCGAGAATCTCAACAGGCTGATGTTTCGGTTAGGTTGCACGTCGAACTTTTTGCCTAGTTCGACGAGTACGGTTACCGGGGTCCCTAAGCCTGCTCCTAGTATTAGATCTAAAGGGGTCTAATGCAAGGGTTATTGGATCTGATGGATCCGTAAGGTCGTGTGACACCGTAACTATGCCGGATTAAAATATGCGGCAGGACTTATATTGTTGTTGAACAATTTATTAATTTTATTCGACTCGAGATGACGCATCCAATAATAACATGTTTGCGCAATAATTTTAACAAAAAACTGTAATGAAACAACAATTTTATTAAGTGTTAATAATGTTCATAACAAGATAGGAACGACCACAGAAACAACAAGTATTATCTACGTTTTCCACAATCGCAAAGCTCACAATATCTGGAGCGTACGACCTTATGGATCCACTCGGCCAACTAGCACTGTTATTAACAATAGGGACAGGCATAGGGATCCTAGTAACGGTACTTGTCGAACTCGTCAAAGACCACTACGCGATGTTTAACACATAACAATATCTTACTGAGAATAAAAAATGTACAAAAAATGTACTCGCGGTAACCCCCTTACCTCGCCCTAGATCTTGCATTGCATGCTTGGGCGAGAGTGCAGGGGACTCGTTTAGTAGTTCGGGTCCTAAATCGGTCCGCTCACAACATCTATGGACTATCCAGTCCCACAAATATCCCCCTAAGCGTGGGCAGCTCACAGGAGGTTCAACATCCAGCCCATAAAAAATTACACTGTGCTGCATAATTTGTATATTGTTGTTGTTACTGTTGAAGTTTTAACTTTCATAACATTCGTAAACGAACGTATGAATTATCCAGTGTGCTTAGTGCTTAGTGCGAGTTTTTTAACGTTCTCGATAGCGTAAAAGTTAAGTCATATTTGTATGTTGGAACATATGCCTACGTACGTTTGCCGCTAGGGGCGCTGTTCCAACTGCATAGAAATTTAATTTAACTTTTACACTATCGAGAAAGTTAAAAAACTCGCACTAAGCATACTGTTCACGAAGGAAGTGCCGTGGCGATTCTGGAAACAACAGCTACTTAAAGTCCCGTGTTCTAAGAATATAGTTTCAAAAGGTAAGAAAATATTTGTTTCCAAATGGTAACGATTCTATGGGTTTTTTTATCTAAAGTATTTACTATTGGTTATCAAGTAAAAACAAAATCTAAAAAGTTTATAATTAGAGGAGAGACAGCGACAGAGAATCGTTTAACAATGCCTTTTAATCCATAGACACAGCCCACTGACTTTCTCGCTGGATCTTCTCAGTGAGTCGCGTTTCCGATCCGGTGGTAGATTCAGCGAAGCACTGCTCTTGCTAGGATCAGTGTTAGCATCACTCCGGTTTGAGCCCCGTGAGCTCACCTACTAGTTAAGGTTACGCTGAAATAGCCTCTCAAGGCTATCAGCACAGGTAGAAAAAAAAATTGCAACAGAAAATCTTCTATATATTATATAAAAATGAATTGCTTATGATTTTGGAGATGGAGGATTGGAGATGTATGGAAATGGTAGTACAAGGTAGAGGGGGAAGAGGTCGACCAAAGAAGACATGGTTGGAGTGTGTGAATGACAATATGAGAGAGAGAGGAGTGAGTGTTGAGATGACGGCTGATAGAAGAGAATGGAAGAGAAAAATTAGCTGTGCCGATCCTACCTAGTGGGATAAGGCGGAGAAAAAAAAATTATGTTCGTTTGTCTCGCTAAAACTCGAGAACGGCTGGACCGATTTGGCTAATTTTGGTCTTGAATTATTTGTGGAAGTCCAGAGAAGGTTTAAAAGGTAGATAAATATAAAAATTCTCGGAATTAATGAAAAATAACGATTTCGTTTTCCCTTTGATGTGTCCTCCGTCGGACGGATTCCTTTTCTTTGTTTTAAGTTTATTTTATACAAAAGTTTAGGTCTTGGCACTACGAAGTCTGCCGGGTCAGCTAGTAAGTTATAAAAATTACGCCTACTAACGCCAAAGTACGATAGGGCGGTCTCAGGAATGTCGATCTGAGATGGATTTCTCGAAAAAATCGACACAAAAAGATCGATTACTGGATTTATTGCGATTACTCCAAAGAATTAATGATCTAATTAATCAAAAATTACCCCATCGCGAAAATACAGCATGAAGTGGTTCATGGTTTGGACAGCCTTAAACAGATATTCATAAACTTCTCAATGCAGAGAATGTGCTCGAAGAGTAGTGAGTATATTTTGCTGTCTGAGACACCTCAGTCAGGCAGGACATGGAAAGGGGGGATTGGATTCGTGTCTTTCAACTACTGCAAATAAATAATATGTACAAATGTATTTTTTTAATTGCCTTTGTAGGCAGACGAGCATACGGCCCATCTGATGGTGAGTGGTTACCGTCGCCCATGGACTTCAGCAGAGCCAAGCCGCTGCCTACCGCTTAATACTCTCCACAAGCCTCGTTTGAAGAAGGACATGTCATAGCGCTCCGGAAACACCGTGGTGTCTATAAAACTTATGTTTTCAACATTTGGAATTGAACTACTAGTGACATCTAGTAAAGACGAGAGTGCAATTGAAAAGGCTTTGTTCAAAAGTTTCCATGTTTCGTAAAACGTTTCACTTGTTCGGTCTTAGTTGAGCTGGTTATTCCTAGATGTCACTTTTAACAATGTGTGTAAGTCTTGCTAAAGAATTTTATTATTTAGCAACATATATTATTTAAAATTAATTTAAGAAAATGTTCTTTAGGCCACTAATTTTTATTTAATACTTTTACTACTTTCTTATTAAACGAAATCTCTGTTATAAATATTTTAAAACAAACCTTAGCCTTAATGTTTATACAGCTGTCATTAAAATGCAGAAAATAAAAAGAAAAAAGAAATTGAATAATTCATTTGACACACTTGTTGAAATTCCAAGCACATTCCAAGCACCAAAATGTTATCAAAATAAAACACAAAATAATAAAATGAAAAAATTGTAAAAAAAAAACCGGAAAGGCACTGCAATTAATGAATTATTGAAATAACTGAATACCATTTGGAAAAAAGAACAATGGACCGTGCTCGGCGAAATCGTAGGGGCCGCTATCAATCCCAGAACAACTCTACAGCAGATCAATATAACACACGAACTACTAAACCATGGTCTTTTCTAAGTGGATTTTATAGTTTCATGATCATGTGCTGTCTCCTAAGCGTAATCTATCTGATGTTGGAATACCACTGTCACACGTGCAACACAAAATGTGATCTTAACGGAATCACCAGGAACATTAACGATATTTCGGTAATTATAATCACATATTTTTTTTTATACACGTAATTTTTTGTAAATTCTACTTTCCCCGAAATATTCTTCTACACTTTACCGATTTACACAGTCAATAAATAAACGATAGCCTAAGAATAATTACTCGTGAATAAAGGATTTACCTTGTCGATTACATTCAGAAACACCGACGAAATAGCTATAGGTATCCGGATTCAAACTTGGGATTTGGCGATATTTTTATTGCTTATAAACAGAAGAACTCACCTGGTTATTTAGCTAATATAGTTTAGAGGAACCGCAATCTGCACGCCGTCTATCCTATATAAGATAGACGGCTCAATATATAGGTCAATTATTAGTACAATTAGTACTCGTGGTAGTACCTACGACTCAATAGGTCAAAGTCTTAATAGTATTGGGTAAAGGGTTACCTTTTTTACTTTTAGCCTTTGAAACCGTGATGTGAGACTTGCTGAACAATTTACTTCTACAAATGAAAGTAAACGCGACAAGGAATTCACACTTTATCGCAACAAAGCCCCTAAATTAAACAACAATACAGTATTGAAGATTAGGCTTAGCTTAGGTCATAGAAACGTTAGAATTTTGTTTACAAGTATTATAATATAATGTGAGATTTCTTTCCACTTTATCGTTTCAGAGAAATTTGTCTTTGATGAAAAACAATTATGAAGACTTAGAAATCAAACTATCAAAGTTTTCTCAAGAGCTACCTAAGCTTGAAGGACAAATGGAAATACTTGAAGCCCTTGCGAACACTGTGGAAACAAAGGATTTTAGATGGAAGCCGAATTCTCCTTTACTTCTGAATGCAGAGAGAATTCAAACGCATTCTGTATTTGATTCAGGAAATTTTAGTAAAGTGGCCAAACAGAATATTTTCAAGCCAGATCTCGGTATAGATTGACTAGAAACAGACAATGAAAAAAGTGAGGCTAAGCGAAACATGTGCTATGGATTTTTTTGATCACTTTATTACAAATAAAAACATTTTCATTACAAAACAGCTTTTTTTCTCAATACAAAAAGTATTTTGAATGATATTGAATTACATCGAAATCAACTTTGCTTTTTTTTTAAATAAGCAGTAAGTACTTATAATATCGTTACTATACTTATACGTTTAAAATCTGGACTGTCCCATTGTAGGATCATCATTACACTGCTGAGTTTTATCAAATTTGTCATCGCATTTTAATACCCGAAGGTCTTTGTTATATTTTTTTTCTTCTCCAACGGCTGTTGGTTTTAGCGCTTTACGAGTAATTGTAGTAGCATTTCTAATCGGTTTTTTGGTGTCGTTTTTTTCTTGCACAGAATAATGGTTATGTTTCTTATTCTTAGCATCAATAATCACTTGCATTTGTAATTCGTGTAGCCTCCTTCGATCCAAGAATTGTTTGTGGTTATGCTTCTTCTCCAACATATCTAATTTCGTACCAATGTATTCTGTTTTTAGAATTGCGTTTATTTCTTTCTGTAGATTGTCGTACGCTTTCCCGATATTATTTATTGTATCCTAAAATATAAGTTTAAAATATAAAGGGTTGCAGTATTGTCTTCAGAAGACAATAAAGAGAACAAGCAACTGAAATACGCCTTTTTTCTGGGTTTTTTTTTGGCAAGTTTGACATGTACGTGTGCGGTATGTGTAAGTATCCACAAAATAAAAGTATCGTCTGAACGTTGAATTAATTTATAAGCAGTAGCGTAAGTTTTTTTATTCATAATTAACCCAAATTTTTTGTTGTAAGTTAGTGACAGACCGCAGTGCTATTTTTTAAAAGCTCTTAAGCTTAGACGATTTTAGGTTCTTTCCTATGGAGGGTAGAGGTAAGGAGCACCTTGCATAAGAGCTTGGAGCATCTTGTCTAAGGGACAAGTTGAAAAAGTATCCACATATAAAAAGCAAGTTGGAAGACTCACAGAAATAGCGCTAGTGTAGGAAGAGGAAATTATATTAATTTAGCAGTTTTAAACAGATTGGAGTGTGGTAGTAAATCGCTCTGATTGTAAAATCTTTCCACTTGCTACTATGGCGCCGCCTTAATTGGCTTCCTTTTAGCGGACACTTTTTAATATACTGAGATGGTACTCCTTAATTCGACTCTCCATAGTCTTTTCTAATACATCAAGGGTAATTTTACGAAGAGTGTACTAACTTTCAATGAATGAAGACTACATTTCATAAGAGATAGCTCGGATTGTATCACATAACGCTCCCAAAAATTTATACTCAGATGTCCTGCCAAAACAAATAAGCCAATAAATAATGCTGTCTCTATTAATAATGACTTAAATGTGCTCCTTGAAGGCATGTTTTAGGAACTAATAATTTTGATTGCAAGATCACATATTATTATACAAAAGGCATTTGTTGTATCTGAAATGACTTGAAAAATTGACATCGGTGTCAAGTTGATTATAACGATCACAAAATATTAAGTGTACTATCTATGTTCATAAAACAGATTATATATTCCCATTTACAATCAAAAAAATGCAATTCAATATCGATAAAATAATTTAAAATAACAACATTTTTTTTAAAATTTTTTTATTGCTTAGATGTGTGGACGAGCTCACAGCCACTGGTGATAAGTGGTTACTGGAGCCCATAGACATCTACAACGTAAATGCGCCACACACCTTGAGATACAGTTCTAAGGTCTCGGTATAGTCACAACGGCTGCCCCACCCTTCAAACCGAAACGCAATACTGCTTCACGGCAGAAATAGGCGGGGCGGTGGTACCTTCCCGTGCGGACTCACAAGAGGTCCTACCACCAGTAAATAAACAGAAGTATTATATAACAAAGTTAGTGGCAAAGCAACCAATTTTCTTGTTGTTAGAAAGAGTTTGATATAAATTTTCTTCATTATTCCTCCTGATCCACTCTTGGTTCTTTAAGGCTTTCCTAGCATCGGTCACCGTTCTAAATCAACCTAGGCTATAGGCACAGCCCGCTGAATTTCTCGCCGGATCTTCACAGTGGGTTGCGGTTGGATATAGGTGAGTACAGGCCCTATGAGCGAACATCAGACTCACATATTATGTCATAATGTGGCGAATAGTTACTATGAAAGAACAGGTCAGTCAGTCCAGAACAGTCCTTTGCAGATTATTGGATATATTCTGCTTGGAATTCATTCAGTGGCCAAGGAGCCGTCCAGGATGTATTAATTATATTTACTTAGCGGTAAAAAATCAAACAATGCATACCCAGCCCGCTCTTATTAGTTCAAAAGCAATAAGTGAATTCTTAATGTTATTTAACTGGCTTCACATAAGGATTCAAAAATTATTAATTCGACTATTATCTTGCACCTTTTTTCTGGGTGAACCGATTTTGATGTACCTTTTTTTAATTGCAAGATGGTGCTTCTTACGTAGCTGCATGCACTTAAACTTTATCAAGATCTCACCACTAGTTTTTGAGTCAGTTGAAGTCGTCGTGGCCTAAAGGATAAGACGTCCGGTGTATTCGTATCTAGCGATGCACCGGTGTTCGAATCCCGCAGGCGGGTACCAATTTTTCTAATGAAATACGTATTTAGCTAATGTTCACGATTGACTTCCATGGTGAAGGAATAACGTCGCTTAATAAAAATCAAACCCGCAAAATTATAGTCTGCGTAATTACTGGTGGTAGGATATCTTGTGAGTCTGCACGGGTAGGTACCACCCCTATTTCTGCCGTGAAGCAGTAATGCGTTTCGGTTTGAAGGGTGGGGCAACCGTTGTAACTATACTGAGACCTTAGAACTTATATCTCAAGGTGGGTGGCGCATTTACATAGCATAGATGTCTATGGGCTCTAGTTATCACTTAACACGAGGTGGGCCGTGAGCTCGTCCACCCATCTAAGCAATAAAAAAGAAATAAAAATCCATCGTAATGCGCATTTCATGGACTTTGAATAGGTTATTGTCTTCTTATGTTAATTTGCTAGTCGAAGCGAATCACAACCAATGTAATACGTACAAAAGTCGGAAGTCTTGTGATATTTTTATATACTTATATTCCGATTCTAGGGTATAGATTGCTACTAAAAATTCAAATTATTTTATTTTATTTACTACTTATGTTCACATTAACACCGATTTAGGACCACCTCCCGTTACAGCCCGCAAAAAGTGTTATATTTACTCGTTAATTTTTAAAATCAATTAACTGATTTTAAAAAGGACAAAACCATGTAAATCTAAAAGCAATTTATTTATTTGTTTATTCACAATACAATGTGATTACCAATCAGAAAAGGTGGAGTTGCTTGCATCATTTGCTTGGCCGTCGAAGGAATCTGTGTAGACATACGACATTATTGTTATTTCCTGGAAATAATAAAGGCCATTGAAAAAAAACATTTTTTTTATTGCTTAGATAAATCAATAAATTTGGGGTAGACGTGTTCTGGAGTGGAGACCGCGAACCGGCAAACGTAGTGTAGGACGCCCTCCTGCTAGATGGAGCGACGACCTGCGCAAGGCGGCTGGCAGTAACTGGATACGTAGAACCGAAGATCGGGTTCAGTGGCGAGCTTTGGGGGAGGCCTATGTCCAGCAGTGGACTGCCGCAGGCTGATAATGAAAAAAAAAAAAATTTAAGAGAGGCCGCCCCAGAACAACTTGGCGTCGCTCGGTGGAGCAGGAGCTAGGTGTCTTGAGCATGACATGGGAAGAGTTAGAACAGACTGCCCAAGACCGATGTAAATGGAAGGATTTGAATCGACACCCCCGCAGAGGGTAATAGGAAATAATGATGATAATTATTGCTTAGATGGGTGGATGAGCTCACAGCCTCACTGGTGTTAAGTGGTTAATATTTGATGCGTTCAGATGTTTTCAGAAACTAGTCAGTCTCTGATAAGAATTGTTGCGACATAAATGCAAGCATCATGTCGTATTGACATTAGAGATATATGAATCGAATCTCATTTGAAATTGCAGAAATAAATTTGGATGTGCGTTTTAAATCTTGAGTAGCACCGTATCAGCAATGCATAGGGTACTGTAAATAAAGGGCGACCAAGGGAGCATTCTCTTTAGCCAACGGGAATTTACTGTTACATTAGGGGGCGAGGGCTTACATTAGACCCCTAATGTAAGCCCTCACTTCACTAGGCACCACTATCTTGCCGATTTACTATAAATTGAAGAAAAATATAACCTAAGTTAATTCATTGTTTGTACATCTATAAAGAAAATATTTCTTCTTAAATATTCACTTATTACAAAATAAGGCCTTAATACAAAAGAAAAAAATAACAAGGTAGGTCTTGTTTTGAAAAGCCTCCGTGAATGGAACGTTCCCATTAATGCACAAGGTCAGCTCACTAAGTTTCTCGCCGGATCTTCTCAGTGGGTCCCGTTTCCGATCCGGTGGTAGATTCTGCGAAGCGCGGCTCTTGCTAGGGCTTTAACATTGTCAGGTTTGAGCCCCGTGAGCTCACCTACTAGCCCGGCGACGCTGATACGGTCTCTCTAGACCATCAGCATAGGTAGGACAAAAAGCACATTAATGTGTCAAGTTTGTGCTTTTATATTATGATAACTCTCGTGATGATGAAAGTCAGCATAATATAAATAAATATAATAATAAAAAAATGATAAAAATATAAAGATAATAAAAATAATAAATATTGTAATAAAAATAAGGAATGGTGACGTCTGGTGAAGCGCATCACCACCCGAAATGATGACCACGACCACTCTGCCAAGTGCAAACGACTGAGAAGAAGAATTATAATAACAACTCTTTGCCTTAGACGGCCTAAATGCTTTTTTTTATTTACTGTTATAATTAATAACAGTAAATAAAAATGGTTCTTCTATGGCTCTTTCTATGGTTGAAGCCGACCGTGAATCCAAAAGATATGTTGATAAGAATTCAAAAGGTTTAACTACATATCCCTAAATAATATATTCATTAAGGAGTTCGTTTAAAAACAAACCTTGTGCGAAGTATTTTTGTTCGGAAAGAATATTTTACGAAGAAAGCCAAGCTTTTTTTCGCTGCGCATCGGTTCTGAACGCGTTATGTGCATGCAATGACTCTGACAGGCAGACATGTCACCGAAAATATTCGACTGGAAAAAAATATTTTCATGAAATGTAATCTGTTGTTTTGTGGCGTTTTACTTAATTTTTCCCCGATTAATCAAGTGATATTTTAGGTTAGTTTAGAAGCTGGAATAGCTCCTTAGGCTACCAGCGATTTGGTGGTGTAAAAAAACTATATTATCTATACTAATATTATAAAGAGGAAAGATTTGTTTGTTTGTTTGTTTCGAATAGGCTCCGAAACTACTGGACCGATTTGAAAAATTCTTTTTGAAGTGAAACTTCCTTATCGGCGTTGGAAAAAAATTTACCGTCACATTTTTCGGTTACGCGTCACATTTTTCCGTTACGCGCCATCTTTTTTGTATTCATGTCTATGATAATAAAATCCTTTTGTTTAAACTTTATCTAATTTAACTTTTTTGTATTCATGTCTATGATAATAAAATCCTTTTGTTTAAACTTTATCTAATTTAACTTTAT